AGCACTGCAGGGCTCACCATACCACTGTCCATAGCATGGCACTACAAGACCCACTGCCCTCATGTGCCCTCATCACACCCTGGTTTTCAGTGGATCGCGCCAGTCCGGCCTGGCTGCAGTGTCTGTAGATCATCGTTCTCCCTTGGCTCCTAATGAGCTGATTGAGCGGATCGCTCACTGGCCAAACAGGACAAATCTGGCCTTTACGAAGGTCTTCAGCTGCGGACGATTTAAAGAGGTGTAGAATAACCCACCGCACTGCATCGCTAAAAGGGGAACTGCAACCCCAGTTTCTCAGACTACTGAATCTCGACAGAAATTTTTTGGGGGGGGCATCGCAAAATCTTACAAATCCCAAATTATGCACAAAATCGTGAACTCTGTGGAGGTACTGTAAGGCACCACTTATCTCACAAACGTGCATTTTGAGTTCCCGTGAATTGTGACGTGAAGTGTCCCTTCCTACTCGCTCGTCACTGTAATGACTGATGAGATGTACGAATGAGTACAGGTCGTACAGCAGACATTTCACCACTGTCAAGGAGGTCTCTGTGCACTTTGCACATACTTTTTTTTTGTATTTTCTGAAGCCGCGGTATTTGATAAGGTGGACATACAGAACTGAATGGTTACTATAACCCTTTACCGTTATACAGGAACTCGTGCAAGAACCTAAGTGACCAATTGTATTAAAAGAAGTGATCGTTGGCAAACAGGGAAGTAGGAAGATGTGCTCGATTTTGGAATACTGCCACTCTTTTTTAAGCACGGGGAAGCATGATAAATCATTTTTAATTCTTGCAATTTTTTAATCACTTCTGAGAAAAATACACAGAGCATCTCTGCGCTTTGCTCCCATGCACATGAAATAAAAACAACGTAGTATTTTTCTGCAGAACCGTCTCAGATTTGAGGGCAATATTTGTATATTTCTGTTGGATTAAAGAGATGTATTCACAAGCCTGCTAGTTTATGATGTCACGGGGCTGCATCGCGTCACAGGAGGTTCTTTTGCCTCGTTCTGAATCGCAGACAGTGGCGGAGATATGGCTCTGTGCGTACCTGGAAATTGTGTTTTGTGATGTGAACT